TCCAACCTTGCTAATTAATGTCCCCAATTCGAGGTCGGACTTCTCGTTTTCTCGACGGCAATCCCGAATCTGGTCCGACAGCTCCTACTGCCAATGTTGAAAAAAGAAGAAAATAAGCGAATAACCAAGCAGCCTGGGAGATTGAAGGATTCATGCGACGGAATTGGAGGAGGAGGACGGTGGGTAGTAGAATTGCGACGCCGGCATAGTTAACGGCGGAGACGATGAAAGGATTCATGCGACGATGGAAAATAATAATTGAAGGAATTAGGATTTTTTTTTAATTTATAATAATTAGCAGGAAAATAAAAAATAATTATATTTTATTATTTTTTCAATTGCCACGTCACTCATTTAGCGATCAACTATAAGAGTTGACCGCCACATCAGTAAAAGTTAATGGAGACTAACGGCCAGTGATCAAACTTGAACTGTTAACCTAATTTAAGTAAACTAGTTTCTTACCCGGCCTGTTGGCCGGAGAGTTTCATTATCGTTTATACCAATTGATTTATCTATATGTTAAATTTTTTTTTGAATCACCTACATTTTTGTCCTCTCACTTTATAAGCGAGTATGTGATATGCCTATATTAAAAATTCTCAATACTTAGCATATTCACCCATGATTCTATTTTTTTCTAACCAAAAATCATATCGTGAAGATTTATCACATCCCATTTAGGATAGAATATCAAGATTTGTCAAACCAAGACACTCAAATTTATTATATTAAACTACATATAACAATTCGTGATTCTAGAGTCAGGACAAACTCTAAACCAATTATTGAGAGTTCAAATTATTAGATAAAGATGCTTAATTAATGGATAATTTTTGTTTATTCCAAGTGAAACTTAACACATATTGTACCCCTTACGATGATCATATTATCTAATCATGACTCATTTTCATGCGAATGTTCATGAAGTCTTAGTTGAGGATTTTATGTCAAATTTGTCTATCAAGACACTCAAATTTAGTATATTATACAATATGTATCAATCACTAATTCTAAAAGTGGTTGTTGTCTATATGTTGGTTCAGAATCTCAACCTAAGACATTCACCACACTATCAAGGGTTCTTGTCTTAACATGGTCATTTAGTGTATATATTTCCAACTTTTTTAATGTGCATTTATAAAATTTTCTTTATCTTTGGTGTTTGGTTCATGAAATCGTACTGGAAAAGTCAGTGGTAGGGTCTTTTATGGCAAAATCGTGGCTTAACCACAGTTCAACAGTTAGTACCGTGAAATACATTGTACCGGTTTACCAAAAACCGATGCATGGGAAAAACCTTCTCGAAAAAAGCAATTTCGTCGGTACGGTATGGTTTCATTAACCATTTCTGGAAAAAAAAAATTATTACTCATCTTAATAACTGATAAAGCGTGTCTACAACGCACAAGAATTTTAGGTGCATTTAAAACGGCGTATCGTTTGAACAATTAATTTATAATTTTTTAAAAAGTTGATTTTTATTGATTTTTTTAAAAATTTATACAACCATTATGACATTTCGCATACATATGGTTTCATAGATGTATTATAGACACATTTATTGTTAATATCTAAGAATATGTAAAGTGTTTAATTTACTTTTAATCATAGTTAATACCTTCGAACTTTGCTCGACCAGTGGAATATGAAAGAAAAAAATAATTATGGCTAGGATAACTCTATCTAATACAAATTTCTTCATGTTACAAAGTAAAATATTTATGTTTTGACACTTTGATATCAGAACATTTTTTATTATTGCCAAAATTTGGTATGCAGTCACAGGCTCACAACCGTACTACCAAATGACTTCTTACAATTGCCTTATTGAACTCATCATTATTAAAGATTTATCATTTTTAACCCAATAACTCGGATTAGACTTTCAAATACGTTCAACTATTAAACGAAAATTGCCAACCTTTGTTTGATCAATACTTAGATTGGTGGTTTATGATACGTGATGTTTACCATACATCGTCTACAAATACTTCTTTAACATTCACATGTGTCATAAAATACTTGTACATCGTCAAGTTTCTATCGAGATATTTGGTTATATAATACTTGCTATATTTGATAGACGTATACATTAGAAATGAGAAAATGTTTGATAGTAAAAAATATAAAATAATATAGTTCATTTTTTAAAGTCGATTGATGGTCAAACCACTGTTTTCTCTCTTTCCATCGCTACATTTGTTTTATCGGATAAAATATTATTATTTATGTGTATGCTTTTTCTATTTTGCCATTAAATGTAACTTATTATTAAGTTTTTGCATAAATGAGTAGAAAATTGACTTAAAAATGTAATAATATGTTTTCGATTTAAAAAATGTGTGAGATGTCACTTTACAAACATTAGTCTATTATTGCATACATAGATTAATACATATAATGCAAAAAAAAAAAAATATTGCTAAAAGAAAAAATATCAAAGAAGAAAGAGATAACTCCAGAAATTGATCATTAACTCAATTTTTTGTTGTAAAAATATTGTCCACCTTGGCAATTTGTGAGTTCTCCAAATGCTTATGTGGCAATAAATAACTTTTGAACAACCATAATATATAGTAAGATAAGATACGAATGGAATAAAGTAATTCTAATGACTAACGTAAACTTTACTAGTAATTCAAGTGACCAAACTTACAATTTAGCCCACCACATTCAAATGACCCATAAAATTTTCGGGACAAGTCCAAATAATGCATATTATATAGGGTAAATACTAATAATTCTATAGGAATTATTAAATAATTGAGGCACTAGGAAATTAAAACTATTTAAAATAAGTTCATCACAATAATTGAAGTTTTCAAAGCATTTTTGAGTAAAGACACTTGATGTATTTTTTTATAAGGGTGATACATATCACTTTTTGTGATTAGTTAATACAGAAGGGATTCGAATCTCGGATCTGCAGGTTCAATACTAGTGGCATTACCACTAAACCAATCCCTTATTCGCAAAAGTGCACTTGATTCTATACAAAGAAACTTAACAAATAAAATCACCTGCTAATTTAAGCTATAATAAGAAGTTCTTATATCGTTCTCAGATACGATATGGTTTCACAAACACTATTTCGAGATTACAGCCCGCTAGATTTCAATTTTACTCATCGCTCTTGTACTTTTGCTGGCGCCACCCTAGATGTTTGCTATAAAGCCTGAGCCCATGAGAGGGCTGGACAAGGAAAGAAGTATCCTACAAACAAACAATTGCTGTTAAGAGTTCAGGAAGAGAAAAAAGAGCGCCCAGCTTTAAACATAAAAGACGGGGAAAGTGACCGGTGTGGTTCAAAAGCAGGCTCCGTACTCCTTCACGGCTAAGTAAGGAACCAAAAACAACCAAATTGCTCACAGATCAGACAGCTCCGACCCTCAACTTTTCCCATGCAAGTACACTCGGTCCCCAAAGACACTTTCTATAAAGTGTCTGTGCTAAGCTTTCTGCAGAAACGTCGCCCGTTAGTTTCAGTGGCTCTGTATCTTGAACCTCCCTGCACCTTTTTGGCTTGTGAACTTTATACTTTTTCGGTATGAAACATTTACATTTGATTTTGGGATTTAGAAGTCGTTTGGAAGTTGGGATTCTTCAAATATATGTATTCGAAGAATACATGTATTGTAAATACAAAATTGTAAGAATTAGATAATTCGAAGAATGTCTTGTTTGTTTGTAGCCATTCAAAATTTTTAAATAAAAGAAAAAAATCACTTTATGAGCTAAAAGTGGAACAAATTAAACCCCACAATCTCAAAGAAAAAATCTCACATTTTTGTTGAGATTTAAAATGAGTGATTGTGGATGATATGAGATTTGAGGGCCTATCTCAAATGCATGTATTGAATATAATTTTGGGACAAAAAAAAAACGATGAATTCTCCAGAATACATGAATGCAAAGAATTATTCATCTAGAATCATAACTTCCAAACGACAAATTGATAACAAAAGAGGATATGGACTGACAATTCTGCTAGTGGGCTACTGAAGAACTTTTTTTCCATAATGATTACCTGTGAGAACTGCACGGTTTTTTCTATCCATTTTGAGGAGGGACGAACATATCGTTTCAACTCTCTTGCTTGCCACTTAAGCGACTTTTTAGTTATTAGCTATGACGTTAATGACAAAAGAGGTCACTCATCTCTACACTACTCCACCTTGAGCGCGTTTAATTTCGAAGTTCTTATTAGAACTCTTCTACTCCAGTCTTGTCCATTAATCTTGCTTTACGAGTAATTGGACAAAAACCATCCAATCCAAATCAAACTTGCGCCAGCATGACTAATTATCAGCTGATTAAATATATTGGTTAGCAGTAGACATCGTAATACATTCGACTCCAAACCCACTTGGGGACTCTGGAACGAAAAGAGATTAAGCCCCAATCGATGCCATTCCATCACATCAGAATCATATTACTTAAGAAAATTTAGGCATTTTTTGTTTGTTGGTGCAGACTGCAGATGTAGTAGAATATACCTGTACCAGATTGCACGTGGATGTTCGTTCTTTCTCTTGATCGCTTGTTCAACTTTCACCCGTTCACAGACATCGCATTGATCCCTGCAAGGCTTTCTGCAGCAACTTTTTTCACTCTGCAAAAAGAACAAGAGGAACTATACAATTGCACAGAGTGTTTTAAGGTTTTACAATTTACAGTGCGATTCCATCAATTTTTCTCTTCAACTTCAGAGGACCCATTTGGGAACATGGGAGTACCTTCCTTGATAGCTATCAGATATTTATGGGAGTCACATGACAAAATCGAGCAGACAAAGTAGAAGGATGAAAGTGATGACTGCAGTACTAAAGCTCTATCTATGAATTTCCATCACTTGATGATATCACAAACATCAAGAAATTCTGTGGACACATTTTACCTTATGTACAGCTTCCCTGTGAGGACAGTTTAAAGCAGTGCAAAAACACAAACCGACATTGTCAAGAAAACACGAGCGATGATGTGAGATGTACCATATCGGACAGAATCAGACTAGGCAGTATCATTATGGCTGTTGTAAGTATAGTTGAGAATGAGATAGATGCAATTCGAATAGAGTTCACATTGCGCTGGAGTTTTAAATAAAAATGCGGCTTCAAAGCCCTCCATTTGCAGTAATAAGTTACAAAAACAGTTCTGTATTAGCATTTTCAAGTCTCGTACATAAATGAGAATACAAGATGATCCCTGGTTCCGAAGCTAAACTGCAATTTCCATACCAAGTTGAAGGGGGATTGTACTCAGACAAATGGCGCAGCGATTCGAATATCAGAAATAAGGGTGACAGTTCCTTTATGCTGTGGGGGTAATCAGCTATGCATTTGTTGAAGCTTGAATCATCAGCTTATAAAGCGCAAAGCCACCTTGGTGACAGCCAGGCATTTTACTTTTCATGTGTTCTAAAACCACCTAATATGCAAAAGAGTCAGAGAAAATGTTCATAAGTAATCAAAATACTTGCCTATTTCTAAGTCTAGAACTAGTTTATTACTGATGGAGCTAACTGGAAGTGAAGAAACAAACAATAATTCTAAATGCCACTCGATATGCAATTAGCAGGTATTTTTTATGAGGACCTTAGTGCAGAGATAACAGAGTAAATTTTACTAACCGGTGAGACCGTATGAAGTTGGATTGACTCATAGCCATCTAATGCACTAGAGTATAGTTGATGGACTTCCTTGGATGGCAGATTGCATTTCATGTAGAAAAATGCAGCTGGTCTAACATTCAAGATCCTGCGAGATAGACCAATAAAAACTGGAGTTGACTGCAAAAAGGGAAAAGGAAAAGGGAAGTTAGATTGATTGTTCATGAAAACATCAAAACACACAAGTATAAATATCTCAGAGGTACAAGAAAAAAGGTTTCAGCTTTAATTTTAATGAACTAATGAAGAAAGCATGAATTGTCTACAGAACACAAGCTCTTGTCTAGAACAATAATGCATGCATTAAGGGAAAAAGAGACAATACAATGAATAATGTTCATATATAATTATAGAAAGTAAGGGATGTGGTTTTTTGAACGCTAAGTAAGTTGTCAGAGACTTAAAACAGATACAATAAGAATAAAACCACAGCTTAATATGATTTGCTGCAACCAACACCTCCGTTGAGAAAGACTCCATCTCATGGGAAAATGCCTCTGCAAGAAGTGATAACTTACCAGAGATGTTGCAGGTACTCCAATTTCTTCAACTACTTCACGAGCAATACTGTCAAAAATCTCTTCGGAGATCTTCTTGTGTAGTTCCTCAATGCTGACGAAGTCCTGACCATTTTGACTAGTTGCTAGAACAACTTCATCAGGCTGCAAGTGGATAAATAGAAGAAATCATCAGCAAGCTGTCCACCCAGTTCACGAGCTACAAAACCCAAGGAGAACTGACTAGAGTGGAAACAACATTAATAGGAATTTGTGGTATTGGAATATTTCACTCAAGCAAACAATGTCACAAAGCAGAAAAGTAATCACCCATTTGAGCAATTCTTACCTCTGGATGACCTCCAGGAAAAACGAAGTGTCCAGGAAATTCTCCAACATTATCACTTCTTCTCAACACAACAATTTCATTGTCAGCAGTTACTACAATTGCGCCATTACCCAGTGGACTTGCTGTATGTTGGCACTTTATGACATCATCTACAGTGAAAACCACCATAGCTTATAAGCAACTGTTTTCCAGACCATAAACATTAGACAAAGTAATTCTCTTCTGTGATGGAGAAAGGTGATGCTTGCAAATACCTTCAGATAGTGCAAGGAAATTTTCCCACAAAGGATTTAAGTTTGTTCCAACAAATGTCCTGGGAAAGATGCTGATTGCATTAATTTTCCTCCATGAAGAATAAAAGCATGATGCACATCAATACCATTATGCACGGAGAATATGCAATTAGAGATTCTCTCTAATAGTTTCAGTTCATTTGGACAGCACTAAGAAGAAAACTAAAGTAGATCTGAAGAAAAAGGGCAAGGAGGACTCAAAACTAGTTGATGAACGATATGACAGCTAAAAATAATTCATTCATAAACGAACACTGAAAAGAAAACAAAAGTCTGATCACTGAACCACACCCACAATCTGCACATATCACAGCAAGGTTAACCTCATCATTCATTGACCAACAAGTGAAAAACTGACTGATGAGCATATCAACAACATAGGAATTTCCGACTTGCAGTTGTGAACGAGAAAAATTGTTAACGTGTTTTGCAAGCAGAAGAGTTATGTCCATGCTCACAGATCACAGCAAAAGCTCAATCCCCACTAAAAAAACTTCAACGCTTATCTTTTGCAGTTGGATGATTAGATTTTTCACTGTTACATAATTGACCATTTCATATTGTGTAAGTCAGATAGTTTGTTTACAAAAGGAATAATTTAACCCACACACAGGGAGGGAGAGAGAGAGACCGATAATCTGTCGAGCCAAGGTGGAGGCATGGATGAGAAACTCCTTTAGCTTCACCACCATCCCGAAGACTATATCCTCCGTACTGTCATGTTATGAGCACACGAATGCATAATCAGCATCAACTCATCGGACCTTTAATTTGCCTAAAAGTATAAGCACTTAACTTGTTCTCATACTAATGCATTATTGCATTTCATGTGTCCTCTCATAAGTGATGCAATTTAGTTCAGAAGCACTGCAAAGGAGATTTGATTGTTCAAGGGTAGTAATTGTCTACTTGAAGTTACAAGCCCTTCAGGGAACGCAACGAGTAGAATAGGTTAACTTTGCCAGAGTTGTCTGTCAGGTTCACAGTTGCTATGTGAAAGTTAAATGATGCAATAAATTAGAATTAGAAAGTATGCCTCCTTCCAAATTCCAGCAAGATTCAAATTCCATATAACCCATTGGCATAATGTAGCACTAATTATAATTGCATCCTCGAATGCTCTCGGTTTTTATCATAGTGGTAAGTGGATTCCACAAGTTCCAGTTTCGGACAGAGAGAAGGTTATCTTAAAGCTAACGTAATTTATAGCCTAGAACTCTGAAATGGGTACACATCTACGATGAACAAGACCTAGAAGAAGTGTAAGAAACATTCCTCAGCAAGCCGAGATATAAAACATATCAGTATACTTGTAGTTAGTTATCTACATACCCGGTACTTCTTCCCATTGAATAGTGATGAATTGCCCTGAACTCTGTCCTCCCATATCTACAATAAACGAGTGAAAGTCACCATTTTCAGCTACCGATTTCTCGACAGATTTGACCCAGAGCTTGGGCACACAAGGTTTGGAACTTGGAAATAAGGCTCTCTCAGTGAGCACGACGTGAGCATTCACCGAAAGCTACTGCCCTGGCAATAATGCAGTCGAGAATAATCGAATGTGGGCGCCTCAAACAAACAACAACAGCGCATGCAGTCATCGTCCCAACATTAGATTCTATGAGCTCACCTGACCTATGGAGTCCTCCAATTCAGCGTTCGGATGCGGGATTCTATCGTACGATCGATCAAACACCACGGACAACTTGATCCAACGGAAAACCAGAATCCCCAATCAGTATAAACATTGCGTGCAACCTGCGAGCTACATTACGTCCAAAAGGGGAAAAAAGAAAAGGAAAGAACCTGAGACGGCAAGAGTCCAGACGGGCAGGTGAGCAGGAGCTTGTAGTCCGCTGTTTCCATTGGTAAAAAAGTGACGGCCAACTGCTCGACGGAAGTCCTCTGCCAATTTTTTTTTGCAGAATGACGAATCACCAATACAGGGTTATTCGTATCGACTGGACGCCCAAAGGATCGATCAGCTGTTTATTTCACGTTTCGCATCGAGCCGAGTCCACGTATCGCATCATCTAACAGGCGAGTTATTTTTTTGTAATGAAAACCATGGGTGCCCTCGCATTTGACGTCTAGACGGGTACGGATAGAGACGGAGAGAGAGAGACAGGGGCTACAAATGTTCGAACCGGCGATCAACGTCCAGCATAAGAAGTAGCGACCAAAATGTCATGAAAAATATGGAGAAAGCTCAAAATCGCTCAATCATGATGGGGAGAAGAAAAAAAAGTCCCACTATAATTTTGATCGTACATCATAGATTCATATTTAGAGCAAATATGTTAATCGGTTGGGCTAGTGTGCTAATACTTTTTAGGGGCATTTGTATGAGTCATTTGTAATGTAAATCATTTGCTCAAATGTAAGCATTTAAGAAATGTAGACATTTGTGTACAATACAAATGTATTGTTTGTTTAAAAGTTTTTAGATGAGTAATTCTTAGATGAGTCATTTGTATAAAGTTATCATTTTGCCCTTACATTTAATATATTACATTATCTTATTTCATATTCTAATAAAACCAATCACGTACACAAAAATTATTTTGAAATCAACAAAACAAATTACTTGGGTGTTTGTCATGCATAATACTAGTTTCTATATTAAATTATCTATAATTCTATGTTAACTTTCTTTATAAAAGGTAACGCCTCATAACTCTCGAATTTGAAGCTAATTAAAATGATGGTGATGTCATGAACTAGTTGATCCCAATAACTCGAGTCGTTTGGGAGATGGTTATGTTGGATCTTATAACACACTCTAACACGCCCCCTCAAACGAAAGCCAACTCACAGGCTTGAAGTTTGCACAGGCCCACCATACCTTGTGCTTTAATCAACTATTAATATTGAGGGTTGTAGAAATTCGAACCACGACCACTTGGCCAAACTAGCTCTGATACCATGTCATAAACTAGTTGATCCCAATAACTCTAGTTGTTGGGAGATGGTTATGTTGGATCTTATAACACACTCTAACATGTGTTTGTGACGAAAAAGATGCGTCGCTACGTAGATGACCCTCTTCGTCGCTTGTGTAATTTAGGAAAAAGAAAAAATAATTCTGAAAAAAGAAAAAGCAATGACATAGAAAACAAATAATAAAAAAAAGGATAGAAGTGAGTTTACATAAAATAGGTAAGGACGTAGTTGGAACATTTAGACTAAATAATGAGTCATTTGGAAATGACATATATAGGAGTCATTTGGGACTTTTGTATGGACGAAAAGACTCATGCATTTTTTCTCTAGCAAACGAGTCATTTGACATCAAATGACTCAATTGAATCTTTTGGTAACAAATTACTCAAGCAAACGACCCCTTAGTGTTAGCATGGTGCTAATACTAGCTCCAACCAATAGGAAAATTTCGTTTGGATAACTTTTTCATTTAAATAAGTTGACCCTTGATATTATGAAAAATTGGGGGAAGGGAAGGGGAGTCACGTGTACAATTAGATGGGAAGAAAAAATTCACCCCACAAACCACACAATCCTCTCCACAAATAATCATTCTCACAAACCAAAATCCATCCTTCGTTTCTATGACTTTTTCATTTAAATTAGTTGACCCCAATTAATGAAGAGAAGGTGAAGGAGGGGCACGCTGGGTATTATGAAAAACTGGGAGAAGGGGAATGGGAGTCATATGTACAATTAAATGGGGAAGGAAAAATCTACTCCACAAACCACAAAATCCTCTCCACAAATAATCATTCCCACGAACCACAAAATCCTCTCCACAAATCACAAAATTCAGGCCACAAAAGACAAAATTCATGCCACAAGTTTCTTAAAGTGGCCTAGAAGTTTCTTTAAAAGTGGACATGTTTGTAAAATTTTAAAAGTTTAGGTATCAAAATGTAAGAGAAAATATTGTAGGTGCTAAAATGTTATTTTTAATCAATATTTTTAGAACCTATATGTAAAAAATTAATTTTATGGACTAAATATTAATATGTATTAAGTTTGGGTACAAAAACTGTAATTTGTATATGTAACTTATTACAACAACGTAGAAAAAGGAGAGGAGGAAGGGGAACGAGAAGGGGGAAGGAGAATGGATAATTACTATACTATCCTTAATGAAAGTGTTAACATGGTTATAACACTTAATGGTGTTAGCACCCTATCTCCTCCCCTAATCACATACCATACCACATAACAGTTCAACCATTTGCGATTAACTACAACTACAATGGTTTGAAAAAATAAGTTGTTTGAAAAAATAGTTCGTCATAATCCGTATGTTTGGCCCAGCTTTTATAAGTATATTTCGGTTTAAAAAGCTGAAACAGGGCCAAACACCTCTAAAAGCTCGACTTTTGAAACGACGAAAAGCGCTTTTGTATAATATAAAAGCAGAAGCTCCGCTTCTGCGAAAAGCTGTTTTGAAAATACAAGATTATCCTTAGCATATTTTAATTTTATTTAAGAAAATATCATTTTATTTCATTTATATCATTTTAAAACAAAAATAAATTATAAAATCATATTATTTCATATAGAAGAAGCCTAACAAGATCCATTTTGACTACTTTTCATTGTTTAGAATTTTTATTCATAGTTTATATTATAAGTCATTTATAGTCATTTTACACAACCTCTCATATTAAAAAACACTTCTAATAGTTTTTCAGCCAAATACTCAACTGACTTTTTTTAAAAAGTACTTCTCTAAAAGCTCCAGCCGCCAGAAGTTGCTTCTAAAAAACTACATCATAGCCAAACTAGACCAATATATTTAGGAAGAGCAATGTTCTCATTTGGATTGAACATTGATATTTTTATATATAAAAAGATGAGTTCTCATTACACTATTTATATTTCGGAAGAGCAATGTTCTCATTTGGATTGAACATTGATATTTTTATATATAAAAAGATGAGTTCTCATTACACTATTTATGAAGAGGTTTTTTTTTTAAATAACTCCAACTTCAAGATCATTAGTCATTGGATTACATGCGGATCCTTTCAATCTCTTTTTATTTTTATTTCCAATGCTCTCTTTTCTTCTATTTCTATCTATTATTCATTTTCTTTTATTGCTACCTCCCAATACGTTATAGTATTCGTCAATAAGCGTTTTTTTTGTTGCTGTGACACTATTCATTATGTCAACCTCTTCGTCTTCCATGACCGGCGGAACGAAGAAGAAAGTTGGAGAAGGCTGTTGATTTGAATTAGGGGTGACAATTCGGTTATTTTGGTTATAATCGGTAAGCGATTGGCCGGTTATCGGTTAATCGAAATAATCACATTCTCTACCGAAAACCGACCAAAATAGACTTTGGTTTGTCGGTTATCTCGGTTATCGGTTAACCGAACCACTTTTAAAACCAAAAACCATTTTGTCCAGCCTCCGATAATCGACCAAAGTTCGGTTACTTCGATTACCGGTTTAACCGGTCGATTAACCGGCAACAGGTAACCGAACGGCCACCCCTAATTTGAACTCGACCCGCTGGAGAGGTGATTTATGGTGGGGAGGCGATTTCCGGCGGGTTTTGGAGGCAGGGGCGGAGGCAACTTGTTAGGAGGGTGTGCATTGGCACACCCTTGCCTTGGAAGAACAAAGTTAAAAGAGTATATTAGATTGTTTATAATGAAGCTTTGTACATGGAACCACAATCTTATCATCACAATATCACTAGGTGAACTTATTGTGGTAGTATTTAATTATGTTTCCCTTTTCAATTCCAATCAAAACTTTTCCTCTCAAACATGGTCGCTAAGTCGCTCGACTCTACCTTTCCTTTCAACCGACTTTTATCAGCTATCCATGAGCACTAGAAAGTCTTTACCGTAACCCATCATGGATTGGAATTATTTACAAAATTATGAAGCACTAGTCGATAGGATATATTGATAATAAGGTCTTTGATAGTTTAGATGAAAATATATAATTTACAAGTTTTATTAGAGTAGAAAAATGTTGTGAGTCATTGCAAAAATTAATAGTTTTTCATATAAAATTTATTTATTTAATACAATTGGCACCCCCTTATAGAAAATCCTAGCTACGCCACTGTTTGGAGGGTGATTCCGGCCGTCTCAATTGGGAAGTCTGAAGGAAGAAGACGACATATCTTGTTATAGCATATGGGCGAATAAAAGACGAATTGGGACGTGGGCGCCCCAATTCGTCTTATTGCGGCCCCAATTCGACTTTTGTTGGTTGTTGAATTAAATTTGGGCACGTGCCCCACTTAGACTTTTGATGCACTTTAGAACCAAATTGAGGCGCGCGCATCCAAATTGATCTTACTCGACAGTATATTTGGAAATATGCTTTGAATTTGGTGACATGCGTGTCAGCGTAACTTGTACTTTTCGGTCGACCTCTGTTTTGCTTATGTATGTCGATGTGAGTGGTTCTTTTGCTCGTACAAATTATGTTTCAAACCAACAGAATTAGTCATAAATAATGATAGCAAGGACTCATAACTTCATAACATAACAACTAAACAAACTAACAAGTAATACAATAAAACACAAATCATATTTATTCACACATAACTAAAATCTAAAACCACATAATATCAATACACAATCGTTTTTAACACTTAACAACAAAAACACACAATCTAAAATCATCGAGTTCCTACTCCTCTCCCCTCTCTCCCTCATCCACATTTTCTTCATTGGTATTGCTAGCATTATGGTAGTCGGATGTGGTGGGATGCATGTATCTTCCACTGAAAGATCGAAACTCATCTAAAATCTCATTCACGGTCACCTGCAGTGTGCTCATATGGGTGGTCATTTTTCCCATGTAGTCGTACATGCCAGTCATCTGGGTGGAAATCTGGCCCATGTAGTCGTACATGCCATCCATGCGCTCCCACATACGCTCTAAGGTGACCGTGGAGTTGAACTCTGTGCCTGCGCCATTGGCTCGTCTACGGCTCCTTCATCAGCATCACCAGCATTATCCTCATCATCATCACCACCATGGACACCATGAGCATTGTTTATTCGGACATACTCACCATCACGCATCTCAAATCCCATCTTTTTCAGAGATGAAACTGTATAAAACTCCTGCTTTGAGATTCTTAAGCCAACCTCACCACTTAAATCCACATGAAAAATGCTCAAATAGCAAAGCCAGGATCATCCCATAGGGAAGATTCCTGGTTGAACTCTCTGCAGCAATAAGCATGTGGTCAAAGATCAAGTATGACAAGTTCACCTTCT